CAGGTTTTCAATTTTAGCATTTCATCAAGCACTTTTCGAACAGCCAAGAAATCCACTGGTGTTGGCTGTATTCAGCCTTGCTGTCCACAATGGTGGCGATTTATCAGAAGCTTTGGGTATTGCGAGACGTATAAATAAGCCGCACGAAAGTAGTTTTTGCGAGCTATTGGAACCTGGATTTTTGGATTCTTCTGTCCTCATTGATGAGGTTACGAGTTTAGCAGCTTCCATTCGAAGTGCACTCGTTCATTTGACAGACGAATATTTTGTCTCACAAGCAATGGCTAAGTATCCAAAAGCACCGCATTCAAATCTTGTAAGTTTTTCTATTGCTTCTTTTCTATTTATTTATTATTTTTTTGTAGAAAATATTGAGAAAGGTGGTTGACCTCAACATTCTTTAGTGTTCTCTTATAGCGTAAAATTACAAAAAGAATTCCTGACCTTGGTTGATTACCAAATGACAAAACACTTGCTTTTTTAATTACAAAAAGGAAACTGCTTAGAGGTTTTATGAAACAAATGCCTCATTTGGATAGTTAACTGTGTTACGTACAGTTAGAACAAAGCTAAGAACTTATATATTATTGAATTCAACTAAAAAGAATCGAAAAATTGAACTTGACAAGCGAAAAAGCTTGTCCCAAGTGCAAGTGCTGATTTTCCTCCAGAAGTAGATATTGCAGGCCCTAAAAAGACTTAACTGTACTACTTAAATGATGCAAACTAGGGTTCCAGAAACCTAAACTTCGTGACCACGTAATTGGAAATCCAAATAAGCAATCATAAAACTTAATTAAAATAAGGATATCTAAGATAAAATAAGACAGCTGATATGTAACACATGGGGGTGCAGTTTGTGAAATAGAAACAATTATCTAGTTGTTAAGTTTCAGAACTATCTGGGCTCCTCATTCAGTATTGTTCTATATAAACAATAAAAGTTACATCGGCTTTGCTTAGGTGAAAAGCAAAATCTTCTGTTATTCAACAATCTCAAAATCAATTAAAAATAAAAAAAATCTCTCTATCTTCAGACACAGTGCTTGATTCCTTGAATTTGATCATTTGCTTCCAGTTTTCTGGAAAGTGGTTGGATCCCTTATTAATTGTTCTCATATCCACAGGTTTTTTTTCCTTGGCAATTGTACTTAAGAGGGTGTAAGATATTTGATTGTGTTCAAGATGGAAAGGAGGAAGGATTTGTACCCAAACATGGTCCAAAGGTTGATTATGAGCTGTTAGCTGTGGGAAGTTTAAGAGAAGTCCGGCACGTTTTTGCAAGAGTTGTCTTTGATACCATTTACCCCATTGATAAATAACAGGCTCTGAACGTGGTTAATCAAGTACTTAAAATTCTAGAGAAGGTTAATTAACCAACACTAATTTGGCAAGTCCGTATGAAAGGATATACTGTAAGATTGGCTTAATTTCGAGGGCTTCGTTTCTACAGTTTTAACGTTGTCTATGTATATTTGCATGTTACTCAAGCCATGTTTCAATGTCTTGTGATTTATTGTTCTTTTTATTGAAAATAATACAAAAAGGCTTAACTGTATGCCATGTCTACTTTTAAATATGTATCCAAACTTTTAGGGTGTGAGTGGATGTAGATTTGTGATTGAATATTTTGGTTTTGATTAGTTTTCTTAACTAATCAGAGTTAATTTTGAAAAATTTGATTGAGTTAGGTTTGAATGAGATTTTGACATATGTCGTTTGCCGAATTGGCTCAGTTCTCTAAAGGCGTGTTTGTTTAATAATTGATCAGTTTTTTAAAAAAATGGCTTTTTATTAATTAGAGTTAATTTAGAAAAAAGTTGGTATAATTAATTGTTAGTGGGGTTTTAAGTTTGTACTAAAATAATATTGAAAATAGAATGATGAAAACTAATTTGATATAAAAGTGGAGATAAATGATTGAAAGTAATAAATAGTTAAAATTGATTTGATTTTATAGTAAGAGATAGATGGTTGATAGTTAAAATTATGTGAGCGAATGAATAGTGAATTAATTTTAATGTGATGTGTAAAAATAATTAATTGATATTAGTTATTAATATTGATAATATCGAGGATAGTGGTGCTGAATGAAAATTGAGTTAAATTTTGAGGATGAATTGAATATGAGTAGTGATATTTTTATAAACAAATACACTCTCAATGTCTTTAATTGTAAAAATTGAAATTGGTCATATTTTTTTTTTTCAACGAATAACAATATATTAAACTCAACAAATTACAAAGGATGTCCAACTGAACAAAGAAGCACCTACTCTATTATACACCCAATAGAGAGGAAACTACCAGGGAAGTAACAATCTACTTCCCCTCAATAGCCAACTTGGCCAAAGTACAAAAAACCGAAGAAGTCCCACATATAGAAGAATAGAAACTTCGAGATTTAGCCAAAATGAGAATATCCTCAAAGACTAAATTACAAGCCAAATTCAAATAAAAAATTAAGTGCAGTAACTAAATTTTCAGAGTTCACCATGCAACTAATTGATGTCCAGCCTTTGTCCTATGCATGATTTAAAACCCACCTGACAACCAAAAGATTAGCCTCCCATAAGTTACCTGCACAGTTCCAGCTTCTTTTATCTTCTAGCACCACTTCATCTTGAACCTTTGCCATTAATCCTGCTCCAACTCTGCCTTCTGAAGAATACATGGTACTGACTTGAACCCAAAAATGTCCTACCCTCTTGGAAAAATCTTCTTCATGAGTAAAGTCAACTTTAGGACAAGGATTGGTTAGAGATTTCGAGATATACCATCTTTCCACAACTGCTTCTGACCTATCGCTCTTAGCTCCTGACATCACTTCCACTTCCATGAATGGTTCACCTCTGAACATCACATTGTTCCTTGCTTTCCAAATTCTCTAGAGTAAACAAGCTGAAATAGTCATTCTCTCATTCCACCTGTGGATTTTTCTGTTATTACACATCTGTTCCCACAAGCTAGTGAAGTTGAAGTCTGGTTTTCGAAATCCTCCCACTCAACTCCTAGCAATTTCCAGAACTTTGAACTCTTTTGACATTAAACAAAAAGGTGATTGGTATTCTCTCTGCCTTCTCCACATATCTGACAGATGGGATCCACATTGATGCCTTTAGTCTTCACCTTAGTATTTGTAAAGCCTCCACAAGAAATTCTTAAGCTTAGGTTAGAGATTCAGTTTCCAAGTCACAACCCACATCCTCTTGAGTCTCCCATCTCATTTAATTGCAAAAGCCTTTAGCTGATTCCCTGATGCATGATCCCCATAGTAGTCATATGTAGATTTACTAGAGAAGATTCCATTCATGTCCAAACCCCAAACTAATCTATCTTTTTCCCTAAACTGGCTAAGATGGTTTTTAGGTTTTCAGCAGCAGTAAAGGGATCAAAAGTTTGGTTCACCAGTTCTACATCCCATCCTTTTCTATTTGTAGCCAATAAGTCACTCACTTTAGATAACTTATTTCTATCATAATCAAATATATAGAGAGGTTGGAAATCATAAATTCTAGGGACCGAGGGTGAATTCCAAATTGAAATTGAAGAGCCATCCCCAATTTGAAACCTCACTCCTCTCCAAAAAGAATCTCTAACACTCAGCCAGCTCTTCCAGTGTAACACCCCGCCTTGACTAGCTTTGACTTTTGAAAAATCAGAGTAAATTTTTCACTTTTATTTTCGAAATGTTGTGCGAGTTTATTTTCGAAAATACTTACTTAATTGCGGGATGCTACTTAAACTTACTTAACTTACTTAGTCGGACAAAAATATAACCTACAGTCCATCTGCCACGCGGCGACGGTGAATACATACGTACATACATACAATCCGAAAGTCTCGCACTACTTAGTCTAGCGGAAGCTTTAAACTGAAACATACATAACACACGCATACTTATAAATACATGTTCATGAATTTAAGACCATAAATGCGTATAAAAATGTCCTCTGCTCATGACCACGAATGCCACGTCTGCTCACTCGGCACGCTGGACTCCGACACCTGAAATAAGAAAGACTGTAGGAGTGTGAGCACATCTGCATGCTCGTGGGAAAACTGGAACTGAAATTATCTTAATAGCTGTAAACATAAACTTAATAGCTGTAACCATGGACTTAATAACTGTAAACATGAACTTAACAACAACATATAAATAAACAAGTTGTATTGTAAACTTTACTTAAACTTTAACTTTTTTTAGACTTTAACTTTGGTCCGTCGACCCTCGGCCCTCGGCCGCTCGTGTGCACAACCCGATCTGCGGTACCAGGGGAAAGATTAAGGCCCTCGGCCGCCAAACCCTGGGAGAACTTAATCTCTCGAACATACCTCGGTCATGGTAAAATAATTATAGACAGTGTAGAACCCAGTATCTGACCCTTACTCTGGCCAACACTGAATTAGACAACGTCAATAATAATATATCATGAACTTTGATATTTGAGAGCTGAACTTAATCTTTCTTTTCTTTTCTTTTCTGAATCTTTGGTCCGTTGACCCTCGGCCCTCGGCCGCTCGTGTGCACAACCCATAAATGAGACCCTCGGCCTCTAATGGGTACCAGGGAGAATATTAAGGCCCTCGGCCGCCAAACCCTGGGAGAAACTTAATCTGGACCACAAACGGGATAATTCGATCCTTCGGGTAAATAACTTACTCGCGTACCTTATACAGGATAACTGAAATGCGCAATGTAATGCCCTATAAAGGCTCCCACCTGGTAACTGAAAATATCTGGACTGATGCAAGTGCTCGTAACTGAGGTAGCGGTTGGAGGCTCGACTCTCCTTAGGCTACATAAACATATAGGTGAAAATATGCTAAGTATTGTGCTCAAATTAATTATTTTATATGCTTGACTTAGATGCTTGACCCGGACGAATTTAGATTGATACGGGATTTTTCTTAAAAATATTCTAAGTCCGAAAAATTTAACTGATATTCTTGGACTGACTAATTTGACTCAGAAAAATATTTAAAGTCCGAAATACAACTCGGATCGGAACTTACGAACCGAAAATCGAGGCTCGAACCGCCGGTCAAACCGGACGGTTCGCGGACCGGCCGGACCGCCGGCTCGGCGGGG